TAAAAAGCAGCCGATCGGATAAACATCCGAACAGTTTTCAAGCTGTAATTGGCCGGTTTATACGTCACCCACACGACTCCATTTTCAATCTCATACGGTGTGTTTTTCTCCGGGTCGTACGTGCCTTTATAATAAATCCCATTCAGATTAGCCGACTGGCAGTTGTTGTACCACCACCCGCCCCCGTACATCTCTGCGCAACTCTCCTCCCACTTGTCGTTGTCTTTGTCGAAGGTGCTGAATTTCATCCCGCTGTGGGACAGGTACGACGCCATGTCAGAGTTAGGCATTATCAGAGCGTCCCCGGCATCCCCGGTGTACCCAGACACATGCAGCAGGTACCCCTCCACCTCCAAGCCAACCCTGACTGTGTACTCAGCACTGGCTACGCCCCCTTCCCAATCCTCCATTTGCACCTTCAGTATGGTTTCACCCTGATTAGTCAGCAGGTGGAGGTTCTGGTTGCCTAGCCAAAACTCCCCCTTTCCCTTCGCGTCAACCAAGCCAAACCCATTGCGGTATTCGGCCCAGGTGCGATTGAAGCTGAGCGTGCCACTCTCTCTTTGCTGGACTAACAACCACCCGCCCATTAGCCCCTCCTGCTGGCAGTACACCTCCACCACCTGTGTGGAGTCCGTGCAGCCGGGTTTGATCTTAAACAGGCAGTTCGATTCCCCTTTCAGGTGGTTCTGGTGGGCTTGGACACAATCTGCGAACACAGAGGGGCACACCGCAGACCGCGAGTTAGCTTGGACCGGCTTTGGCTCGGCTGGCTCAAATTTAGTGCAGTGATAAAAGTGCTGACGGTCACTTTCCCTGCAACATGGCTGACACTTGTGCCAAACCCACTGATGTCAGTCTTTGTCTGGACCGTCCTGCTGATGATCCCGATGCAGATTGAATTTTAAAGTTATTCGGGGGGTTTGTGGCTCCTCAGAGTTCTGTTGGGGAAAGTTGGACTTGTTTAAACGTTAACTTTATTATATGTATTTGTCAGGAACACGTACGAAAAAACTTTAATCTCAAACAAGCGAAAAAGGCCACTTTCTATCAGCAGCTCCTAAACGCTGACAACCAGCAGAAACAAGTCTTGTGATATTTTAAATGTGCTCCTGACGCTTGTCCCAATGAACCCAATATGTTTTTGA